TAATGCTATCGGGGAGATTGGCGCGACCAAGCGCGAACTGGAGCGATTGGCTGCTCCTAGCACCCCCACGAAGACTGGTGGATTCAGTCCGGAGTTCGCCAGGCATCGTCTCGTCAGCAACACATACGCTGTGAAGGTGCAAGAGGCTGGATCGTCGATCCCATTTGCGCTCGAAAATGAGTACCCGAAATATTCGGGTTACATCATGGAGGAGCATCTGGCGCCGTCCACTATGTTTCTTGACATCGACAAGATGATCGGGAAGTACAAACAAGAGTGGATCACGAACCCCGAGAGTGAGGTGCTCCCCAGCCTGAGCAGGCCTAAGACCTCTCATCTGACTACATACGACCAGAATGCCCTCGAAAAAGAGTGGATAGGTTGGGGAAACCAAATGTTCAGGAACGTCATCCTTCCCCCGGGTGTGCCTCGGACCACTCGTGCGGCAAATGAGTCGCGGCCCCGCCGAGATGACGATCGGTCGAGGACCGCGCTTGGGGCCCGCGAAGATCGTCGCGGTCCAAAGGGTGAGGGGAAGGGTCGAGGAAAACATCGACCTGGCAAAGGTGGACGCGAGGATCCTGGCCCGCCCCGACAAAGGGATGATCGTGGCAGGGATACCCGCGGAGGCCGACGCGATGATCGCCGACCTCCTCCACGTCATGAGGAGACCTCCGAGAGGCGCGGTCCGGGGCGAGATGAGCGCCGCGGACGTGATGACCCGGGTGATGACCGTCGCGATCGCCACCGGGACCGGCGCAGGGATGACCGACGTCACCAATCAGATCCCCCTCCGCCTCGCCGACCTCCGGCTGGTGACCACAATAGGGGTGGTGGTGAGGATCGCCGTCGGGATGGAGGAGGTGATCGAGGTGACCGTGGTGGACGCCGGAGAGACGACGTGCCCAGGGACCGGGAAGAACCTGGTTCAGGGTGGTAGGCGGGTACCGCAATCAGCATCCGCCTTAGAAGGGCGAGGATAGTACGTGTGTCGCCGAAAAACGCGACCGCGCCGGTCCTCCTCTCGCCCATGCGGCGCTGCTGGGGGTGATGGTCTCCATTGCCCTGTACCGCTGATCCGGCGTTGCTCGTGTCCCTCCCGCACCGCTGCCGTGCGCGCCGGAGACGGTTCCCCTGGCGATCCTGTGTGAGGCTGTGACCGCACTAGAAGTGCCGGGCCGGCCGTAGCCGGATATTTTCACACCAATTTCGGAACTTCCGTTTCTAATTTCCTCCCAACTCGACTACTCTTCCAACCACTCCACGGCGTGCAGTGAGGCGCGGTGATCCAGATAGGGTCCCCCTCCGCATGGTGTCGTCCTATGACAACGCATGAACGGCACGAGAGGAATCTTCGTCTGGTTCCTCCAATATGTCTTTGTTCACTCATGTGGTCCACTCGTCAAATAATCCTGTCGCCCCGATAATTCGGGGTGGTGGCGGGATTTTAACTGGGGCCCAGGTGATGCCGTTTGGCTCACCTCTGAGTTGACACCGGCATTTTTGGTTGGTCCCTTTCGTCGTGAACTCAACTGTCTCGCATCCTTTCTCTCGTCCAGATATCGGATGAGGGGGGTGTGTTTTGTTCACGTGTTGTTTCATCATGTGGCAAAACGGCCGAATGGCCGTTTGGCTCAAGTTTTGCCCTCCCGTCAGGGGGGTCACGGATTCTTTTTGCGCCAGCCATAGTGCGGCTGACTGCTTCGCCGTCGGGAAAAGGCTCCTGACGTCGCCGTGGTTAGGCACTGGGAGGTGGGCGGAGGATCTCTGCGTGATCGTCCTGGGCTTGGACACAAACTTCCCTTCTTCAACCTGTTTCCCAACCTCCCCAAACTTGATCTTCATTAACTGTCACTCCCACAATCTGGTCACCGGCACCTTCTACATTGTGCATTGGGACTGGGTTCTTTTGGTACTTCGTGAACCACGTGTACCTCTTTGATTCCCTGGGCTACTTCGTGTTCGCCCAAAACCGCACCTTTGTATTGCGGGTTCCACCAAACAGGATTCACTTTGCCGACTGGGAGGCCTGGCAAAACAAAAAACATGGTGGTTTTCGTGTTGGTTTACCTTTAAACCAGCCCTCAAAGGGTGCCCTTATAAAATCACACACACATAAAACGCACACCCGTATGTCAAACCCAAAAGGAGTCCCACAAAAAGAGACTCACTCCTTCGAACATTGTGGTTTGCTCGATTGCATGTTCACTGGCAGGATTGTTTTCCTTACACGCATAGGAAGTTTCATGACCTTTGGGTGCAAGCCTGGGAAGACTTGGTGGCATTGATCTCTACAACATGCAGAACGCTACCATGGAACAGATCGAGGCCATCATCACCGCCATGCAGTAAACTTCAGATCGCCCCCTTGGAAGTCCTTGCCACGTCAGGCATCACAGGGCTGTGGAAACCGCCGTTTGCCTTAAAAGGAAAAGTCGGGGTGCCAACGACGCATGGCCAAAAGTCTGGAGAAGAAGAAACATGGTCGAAGCTTGGTCCGTACTTGATACTTTCTGTCGCAACGCTGCAATCTTCCTTGAAGTGACAAAGTAGTGGTGTTTGTGTGTCCTGTTGTGTTTGTGCTTGTGCTTGTGCTTGTGTGCGTGTTCGTGTGTGTGTGTGTTTCAGTTCAACCCTGACGCCATTTCCAGCAGTCATGCGCAAGCAGGGGCACACGGCATTTGCAACCTACCGTGTGCAACGAAGCTACAGCTGCAAATGGAAAGGGAACTGGGACGCCAGTTCTAATTTAGGGTCCTTTTGGCCCTTGTTTCTCTCGCTGCGTGTGCTTCTTGTTGAGGATGTAACGGTTTTGACACTAAAGGGAAGCCATTGCATTTCACACTCGAACCTGTCAACTTGACTCACATTCACTCGAAAGCGAGCTCATTTCTCCTTTTGGAGGCATTTAAGTCTGCGGGTGTGGTTGTGCGTACGTAGTTGTGTTTCTTTGTATGTGTGGTTGTGTGCGTGTTGTGTGCGTGTTGTGTGCGTGTGTGTTGTTTTCTGTGTGTGTGTGTGTTTGGGTGTGGGAGTTCCCTTGTTGGTTTTTTGTTGGTGTCTTAGTTGGCCTTGTTGTTGCTGGCCTCTTTACTTGTTCCTTTGCGGGCTTGCTCCGGCTGTGCCATAAGCCAGTTCCCTTTGATTTTTTCAGAACAGGGGACCCTGGCAGTGCGCTTGTTGCGCGTTTTGAGGCTCGCAGTCTTCTCATGGGTCAGCAATGTCAGTTGCCCTTGATCTAACACGTGCAGAGGAAACATCTTGAGAAAACAATAAAACACGAAAAAACTCGAGGAAAGCCAAAAAGAAAACGTCGAGAAAACCAAAATCAAAAAAACCTGGAGAAAACAAAAAAAATCATGGTTTAGAAACTCTTTGGAACACAACCCATGTTGAACGAGTTTCTAAACCATGGGTTTTTGTGTTTTGTTTTTTTGGGTTTCTCGAGTTTTTTTGTTTTTTTTGGTTTTCGAGTTGTTTCTTGGTTTTTTTTGGTGTTCCTCGAGTTTTTTGGTTTTCTCGAGTTGTTTTTTGTTTTTTTTGGTTTTCTCGAGTTTTTTTTTGTTTTTTTGGTTTTCCTCGAGTTTTGTCATTTGTTATTGTTTTTTTTTGTTTTTCTTGAGTGTTTTTGGAGTATTCTATGTATATGATGGGCCCTCCTCTGTTCTTGGCTGTTGTGTATGGTTTATTCAGTTACACTTCTCTCGTGAGCAGCGCAGACGATTTCTCATGTCATGAGTCCTATTTCAAATCAAATTCACCATAAGAACTCTAATTAATTCCTCTTGAACATCCAAATAAGTGTAAGAAGTCTATTTAAACTAACTAGAAGAAACAACCAGCTTGTCTATCCTTACCATACTCTATTAAAAGTATAATTAGAGTCTAATCAAAAGCCTAGATACTTGGAAGTTAATTCCTATTTCAAGCATGATTCAAAAACATGTAATTGAATTACTCAGAAGAAACAACCAGCTTGTCTTTCCTTACTGGATTCTAGTTAAAGTATGTTTAAATTCCAATTAAGTTTCGGACAGGAGTTCCTATTTAGACTTAGGAATTTCTGTTTAAATTATAATTCAAAATATGAATTCTAGTTCAACTCTAATTGAATTCATATGTGCAAATGCAAATTCCTATTTAACATCTGAATTATAATAAGAGTTCTAATTAAAGTCTATTTGAAATCCTACTTGGAAGGGAAGTACTATTCAAAGTCTAAGTCAAATGAACCTTTGAAGTGAATTCTAATCGAAATCCCCTTTGAACTTAAAGCCTTGCAATTTAAAACTTGCAAACCAAGTGGAAAAATGTGTGTTGTCCATGGGTTTTCACCGGTTTTTCACTCCTCCTGAGCGGCTTGCAAATTAGAAGAAACAACAAGCTTGTTTCTACTTATTATATTCTATTTAAGTCCCAATTAAAACCCTACTTGGAAAGGAACCCCTATGTTAATTCTAATTTCAACACAATATTTTACATTGAATTCTAATTGAAATATGATTTAAAATTAAAGCGTGGCAAATTAAAGCTTGTAAACCATTAGAACTGAAATTGCATGTTCCTTGCGGTTCTATTGTTGTTTCACTCCTTTTAAGGGGCAGGCAAATTAGCAGAAACAACAAGCTTGTCTTTCCATACTGGAATCTATTTGAGTTCAAATTCAACTCTAATGCCAAACAGGAATGAAAGAAAGATGCTAAGAACAATTGCAGCTACTCTGGCTTGAATGAGCAGCAGCAATTAGCAGCATGTTACAAAAAACGAAGAAAGTAGAGGACCTTGAGTGATTCAGAAATCGCAGTTACAAACACTCTTCAGCAAAAGCAATCGTACAACTTGCTCAAGATATCAAACCCCAAAATCACAAAAAAAAACATGCACTACCACAGTCGCCCAGTCTCTTTATTTTCGGGTAGGACGAAACTAACGGCAAAAACATCGATCAGCCTGGTCGGCTTGGTGCTCAGTCGCTGGGCTGGGCTCCGCCCATTTGCCAGGCTTGGGCAAAGACATTGCGGACTCCCTGCTGGCGGTTGGCGACTACCAGGCTGGAAGCTCTGCCGGCCATCGGCTTTGAGACCTGGGGGGTCGATCAAAATGTCCGTAAAACATGCAGGAACCATTGGTTAAAAAGCCACAAACTGATGACTTTCGGCCCTCCAAACGTCTTGTTCAGATCTAGGTCGTGAGGAACGCTTACGCGAAGGTGCTTGCGCGAGCCAACGAGCAGTACAAGTTTTCTTACGCGCTTACGTTCATATCAGCGTCCCTTTCGCAAACCGTGCGCGTTTTGCAAGCGAACCAACCTGTGTTTGATCCCCTGCCAAGGGTTTCCAGGTGTCTGGTGTAGCGCAACGTCCACCCAAGGAAACCTGTGTGTGGGACCTCGCCAGGAGTCCAAACCGTTCGAGACAAACTTGCTTCCAACAAAAGCTTACGCGGCGTAAGGCCCACGATGACCACCCTCTTTCAATCGCAGTGCAACTAGGTGTTAAACCCGCTCACATGGGAAAAGTTACCCATGGTCTTTTTGGGGGGCCGAACGGAGTATGATCCACCCCCATATCGCACTAAAGACTGAGTGTGGAGGGGTTCCCGGGTTGGGCGGGTTAGGGACACGCTCTCCGGCCTGTGACTTGGCAAACTCTCGCACATGCAAGGCCCCAAAATACTGTACCGTATTTGTTTTCAGTCATTCATTTGTTTGCGGCATGTTTTCGGTGAAACAAGTTGTACGTGGGGGTGTGGGGTCAAAAATGGGGTCTCCCCCAAAATGGGCTGCCCTGAAAAGAAAACAAGAGCCAAGATCCCCGGCGCCTTTTGGGTTTGATTTTGACCCGTGCGCACATGGCGCTGCCGTTCAGATCGCCGACGGGGGCGAGCTTCTCCTAGGTCCCCCAGCTAGGTGCCCGACCTCTCTCCCCTTTCTTGGATGGGAGGCTTCCCCTACTAAGATAGACAAAACCCAAAAAAAAATGTACCAACTTATTCTAACCTCTCAAATCTGGAGGACCTAGTCTCCGAGCGCCAGGCCTTTGTGGCCATGATGCTCCGGCGCCTCGGAGACTCCGAGGCGGACTCGTCGGGCGAAAGCAGAGGGCGGGGCTTCGGTTCGGCTGGGCCAAGCAAATGTTGCAGCCCAATGCGAGGTTTTACCCGAAGACCACGCAAAGCGATAAACTCACTTCCTGAGCTCTTGGACTTTAGTCACTTTTTGGGTTTGGACCATTTTAGTGGTAAGTAAAAAGAAGTTCAAACTTGATTTGGGCAATCCAGACAGGAAGTGAGAAGAAGTTCACTCCGAGCAAGGTCTCATCAACTTGGGAGGGCTGTCCAATTTGTAGGGTATAAGCATGAGGCTTTTCATTGAGACTCAAAACCACGTCTCCAGGGGGGGAATTAGGTCGTCGGGGGGTTAGCTATATGGAAACCTGACCATGATTTTGGACTTGGGTCCTTCATGTGTCCTTCTAGTGATCGCGGCAACTTGGCTATACCATGCTATACCGAAGGTCCTTTCTCATTTGGAAGGTCATGTGGTGGGCAACTCTTCTTTGAGTTTCTTGTTGGTGCTGGTGGCCTAGTTTGGGCGCTGACTTTTCACGTGCCCATTTGCCCGTATACGGCTTATTCTGAGCCTCCCATCCCTGCTTTGTGGTTTTAAAGGGATGCCAAAAGCAAAACCCATCATGTTGGTGGTCTGACCTTAAAAAAGACACAATGCATATGTTGTAAAGGGTTGATTGGAGTTGATTCCCGCATGTCCAAAATTCGGAAGCTCAAGATCTTGACTTGTGACGTGTCTTCAAGCCTTTGCGGCGTTCCATAGGCTGCACCCCAGAAAGATGGAACGCCCCCCCAATCTCCCGAATTTCTATCGCTATACCTTACTTGGCAAACAAAGGCCAAAGAGGGCCGTCGTGGCTGAATCGCCTGTTCTTGTGTGTGTGTGTGCGCGTGTTTTGTTGTGCTTGTTTTTCTTTACATTTGTTGGGAGGGGTGGTGTGCAAAGGAGCAAGGAACATGTGTCTCTGTGTTTTCTTGGTGCCGGGGGGTGGGGGGGTTGGGGCTCGCGGCGTTCCATGTGAAAACCGAGGGGGGAGACATGTTTTGCGTCCCACGCCTGGCCCGGTCTCGTCTGGCAGGTCGCGGAGCCGGAAGGCTGGATGCCGGCGACATCCGTGATGTTGGGCAAGAGGGGAATGGGCAGCGTCCAAGCGATACAACGCACTCTGCACAGAAGCTCGGATTCCGGCCCGGGTTTTCTTACGGCAAGTGTGCTGAAATGAAATCGTGTGTTATTTGTCCAACCTGTTGGTTTTTAAGAAGAAAAAAAGAGGATCTCACTACTGGAATAGGTGTTTTTTTGCTGCAGGGAGCGAAAAAAAAGGCAAATGGAAGGATACTGTACGAGGGCTTGGTGTTTCTTGTCGTGATGCCCTGAACCCTAGAGCCGCCAGACACCCTTCCGAATGTTTCGTCGGACGTCTTCAAATGCTTCGGAGCATTCCATACCTAGGTCCCCCCAGCTAAGTGCCCCTTGACCAACTTTTTTGGGGGGAGGGTTCCCCTACTAAAACAGACTACAGAAAAAGGGCACCTTTGTTCTAACCTCTCTACTGGAGGACCTAGATACCATCCTTGGCTGAGATTGAATTAGATGCGGTGAAAGACGTCCTTGACGGGGTTTAAGTAGCTCAGCTCGGCTGTTTGCAAAAATGGGTATGGTTCCTTTTTTGTTGAGGAAGGGTGTTCAAGGTAGCCTCCTTTGAGGTTATCTCTAGATTCTTAGATTATGTTTAGAGTTTTTTCGAGGGTGCCTGGAGAAGGCTGCTTTGGGGGTGCCTCACCCTTCTGATTGAAAATCATCATTCCCCCCCATGGCTGGCAAATGGTCTGTGGAATGACCTCCCAATGCTAGTTTGGGGTTATTTGCTAGCCATTGAAGGTCCTGGGTGATCCCATTTACTTTGATAACCTAAGGAGCCACCCTTGAACTAGGGGAAAATGGCCTATTGCCGGGATCCACGTTTGGGTATTCCCAAGCTTTGGCACGAGCCAACTTCTCGTGCGCCGTTGGCCGGAAAGGCTGGGCACCTTGCTAAACACCTGAAGCAAACGGCGTAGTCACCGCGTTGCAAGCCAGAGTACCCCATGCATACCGTATATTTATAGCCTCTGATGTTGGGCTATCTCCATTCGAGTCACGATCAAAACCCGAGTAATTGGAGGGTAGGGACAATCCCAGCCAGAAATGGTTGCCGCCTGTTCGTTTCTTTGCATGGTTCTACGGTTCACCATTTTTGTGCCAGGTTTTCTTTGGTGCATGTTGCTTGCATGTTAGGACTTTAACTTTTTGCCAATTCATGGGTTTTCAATTAAACCACTAACAGTTAAACTCTTAGCAGGGGAGCAGAAAGCAACCAAGTGTTGATCATGTCTCATTTGGAGTACGATGGTTGAAAAGAATGGGGAATCGACCCCTAGAATTTGGGGTAGGGCCTTCTAGCACCTTCATATCAACAGCTCAGACACGTGCGCTTCAGCGAGCCACATGATACCCACACCCAAATTAAAAGCCCCCCCCGAGAGCCGAGCATAGCTGAGCATGTAGACGCGGATCGCCAGACTTATCTTTCCTTATCGACCCTTTCAACCAGCAACAACCACTTTTTGCCGGGGTCTATGAGAAGCTGCTCCACTAGTAGATTGCCTTGCTACAATGTGAACGACACGCTGCAGCTAGTTGCGGCGGATTCGAGTACATGCCCTTTATGATGGCTGTTCATTGGGGAATCGAACGGCCCTTATCAACAGAATCAATCATTCGCAAAGATGTGGGGAACGAGATATGGGTGGGGGTACTACTGTGGATGATTCCCCTGTAACTGCCAGCCAACAATCGTTTACCATGGTGTCAAGTAGTGCGAACGGATTTCGTCCATCCACAGTATCACCCTTATTGGGATTCCCCTTGCTTCCCGTTCCCCACTGCAATTCTTCTTTGCGATCCAAGCAGACGCTCGGATTTGTACGGCCAGGAGCAAGGCCCGGATCCGATCTCGGAAATCGACGGGGAGACTGACGACCGAACTGCCGGTGGTCATTTCTGTCTTCTTGTTTGGGTTCTCCAACTAGGTCTGAAAAATGGACCAGAGTCTGCCAGGACCCCAATGGCTGGCAAATATCCCCAAAACAGCCATTGGGAGGTCATTCCACAGACCATTTGCCAGCCATTGGGGGGTCCTGGTGAAAAGTGTTTTTTGGTCTACCCCAAATTTGGGGGAAGTGAGACGGTCCTGGCCCCACAAATCATAGAGAGTTTGGTTCCCTTTTTTTTTTTTTTCTCCCGGGGCCGCTGTGTCAACAGGTTCGTGTCGCAGACCTCGCCTTCAGAGAGCACCAAATGGCCAAAGCAACTGGCAAGCTTCCGTTTGCTGAACAGATTTTTATTTTCTCCCTCTGGCTTGAAAGGGAATCGTCTATGGCTATTGCACATATGTTGTTTTTGTTTCAGAGGGCTTAAGAAAATGAAAGCTTCAGGGAACGAAGGGGGAAAGTACCTCCTGTTTACGGCCAAGGCATGTAACAGCATCATGTGTTGAACCCTGACCCGTCCAGACGTAATTCTATGCTAGCACTGCAAACCCAAGGACCTGGAAGCAAGCCCGCCTAGGTCCCCCCAGCTAGGTGCCCTTTCTCATCCCTGTTTTGGTTGGGAGGGTTCCCCCACTAAAATAGGCTACAGAAAAAAGGGTACCCATATTCTAACCTCTCTACTGGAGGACCTAGCCGCATACTCGTGCAAACATGTGCACTCATGCATACCTGCACACAGATATGCAAACGTATACACAGACACGCAACACGCACGTGCATAAATACGTGCCTGCATGCAGCAAAATACAGAGGTGCAGACACGCACACGTGCGTACGCGTGTGCGTAGATACATCCAGCCAACCAGCCAACCATATACATACATGCATGCATGCGTACATACATGCATGTATATGATACATGTATACAGAAGTCATTCGTAATATCAGCCGACCACTTTGCATGTTGGTTTTCTCTTTGTGGTTCAAATTTAGTCACGCCCCCAGAACATTTATTCTGTGAGTAGCTCTAAGTAGCACATGTTGGAGACTTTCTGAAGGCAACTCGGGGGCTTTGTTTCTGGAAAGTCAGAATCACATTACCCTCTTTCCCACGGGTCCCAAGAGCAAACGGACTTTGTTTGTCCACAGGTGCGATGGCAAAGCACAGAGGCAATACAGTGGATGGTCGCGAAATCCAGTTCGCGCCGCCCAAGAACCCCTCAAGTGATTTGCTTCCCTGACGTAAATACCAACAAACCTTACCAGGACCCCCAATGGCTGGCAAACAACCCCAAAACAGCCATTGGGAGGTCATTCTACAGACCAGCCATTGGGGGGTCCTGGTTATGGTTTTAACCATGGTTTCTTAGGTGGTGCGATTTCTGGCTTTCGCCTTCCCATCAAGCCAGATGTCGCGGAACCCCTCTCGCGACAGGGCTTCGTCCTGCGCCGGTTACGCGTCGTTTCCAAGGCACCGAAGATGTTTTTTTCCTCGTGTTGTGGTTGTCTTCTTTTTTTGATGTGTTTTTTATTTGTTTATTTATTTTTGGGGGGGCAGGGAGCGGGTAGGGATTTCCCGATTTTGCAACATAGCTACAAATTTGCTGGCCACAACAAAGTCTAAATCTTGTGACTAGCTTGGGTCAATCTTCGCATTTTGTTCATCATGGAAGGGACCTAAGCTCATAGAATTGTTCCTGGCACCCACAGCAGCCTCGAGCTATTTGAGCGGGGCTGTCAGACTGATGAATAGGAACAGATCCTTCGGGAACCAGCCCCCCCCCCTGCTGCAATCTCGGACTGTCCCCGCCATTCTCCACTCATATGCAATCACGTTGCCTTGAGTTGTTACGCAACCACATGAAGCAATTGAAAAGGGGGCTGAACGGGGAAGTGCTCATTGAGTTGGCTACAGCCTCTCATTTTTGTACACGAAGTCCACCCCACTTCTTGCTTTTCTTTTCTTCTGATTCTCTGCAACTGATTTTATTTTCTTCTGTGCTTGGCTTCCTGCCTTTTGTCTCCATGCTGCTTCTCGCTTATATAACTTGTTAATCGGGCTTCTGGACGCTTTTGCAAATTATGTCTTCCCAGGGAGGTATTTCGACCCCCCCACAACCAACCCCCCTCAAGCCCCCCATTGACAACTTGTTTTTGCATTGGTTTCAAAAAAGGAGTCGATGTCACGTTTCCAGGGGCCTGGGTTCGAAGGGCAAAGCCTTGCAGACCTGCCACGAGATGCTTGGCTCGAGATGTCGGGCATTGCCATGGGAGTCGTCAAGCCCTCTTGCAAGCCGGAGGCGGGTTGGGCCAAACCGGCCGTTCCTTTTCTGGACAGCAAGGGGCAATGGCTGTGTGTTGGATCTGTTTCCGTTCTTTTCTTTTTGAAGGGGGGGGGTTCTCCGAAACGTTTTCTTGTATTTAGGGTAACCATTGCTGTGAAACTGAACATGAAATGTGTTTTGTGGAATTACCCCAGATTTGGGAGAGCAGGGGCTAAACTAGACGTGTTTTTCGTATGCTCACTCTGGTGTCGTGCTCTTATTCTAATCATTACTCTTGTACTGGGTCGTCCGCGCGCAGTTTCCCAGTGGCACTTTTGCTCCAGTGTTTCTGTTTGTTGTCTAGGTCCCCCAGGCCCTTTTACCCTTTTTCGGGGGAGGGTTCCCCTACTGAAATAGACTACAGAAAAAAAAAAAAACGGTACCCTTATTCTAACCTCTCTACTGGAGGACCTAGTTGTTGTTTTTGTTGTCTTTTTTCTTGGGGGGGGGTCCCTAGATTTCCGCTTAGTGTTTTGGAACCTCATTTCTGGAACAAACTTTGTCGAGGGACACTTGACAAAACATGGTGAGCGGTACCTTCGCCTTTGAATTCAAGTACCTTGCCTCCCTTTCGTTGGGTTAAAAGTAAAAGATGGGCAACCCAAAAAAGGCGCAACCCTTTTTCTGGTGGAGTCGCCAACTGGAAGGGATGTTGGGCGAGTGACTCGCTTGCAGCTTCTTTCGGCTCCAGGCCGAAAGCTCTGAACATTAAAACAAAGGCCCAACCTGGAGATTCATTCTTCATGATTTTTCTGGTAGTTCTCGTCTTTAACTTGCTTTTCCTCAAAATCGATGAGTTTTTAGTAAAGTCGTCTAAAACTACTAAAACTCGTAAAGGGTCGTGAGATTGCAGAATTGGTCCTTTGTTACATTTTCCCCGCCCGGAATTACCCGCAAAACGCCCGCAAAAAGACCGCAAACAGACCGCAAACGCCCGCAAAACCCCGCAAACGCCCGCAAATTAGAAAAAGGCGCTTTTTGGGTGCAAGGGTCGCCCAAAACTGTTAGAAAGCATTTAGAACGTCCAACACGCCCAAAGCTACCACGAAACCAAAACGACTAGGAAAAGGCCAGAGAATGAATCTTCAGGAAGGAGTCTGATCCGCGAAAGCGACTCCACTACTTCCAGTTGCTGAGATGAATATGTGTTGTTGTTGGTCGTAAAGACATATTTTCTCATTTTTCCGCAAATGTACGACTGCACAAGCGTGTGTGTGTGTGTGTGTGTGTGTGTGTGTGTGTGTGTGTTGGCGGGTTGGTGGGTTGGTGGGTTGGTGGGTTGGTGGGTTGGTGCGTTGTTGCGTTGGTGCGTTGGTGCCTTGGTGCGTTAGTGCGTTGGTGCGTTGGTGCGTTGGTGCGTTGGTGCGTTGGTGCGTCGGTGCGTTGGTGTGTTGTTGCGTCGGCGCGTTGGTGCGCTGGTGGTGCGTTGGTGCCCCCCTGGTGCCTTGGTGTCTTGGTGCGTTGGTCCGTTGGTGCGTTGTTGCGTTGGCGCATTGGTGCGTTGGTGGTGCGTTGGTGCGTTGGTGCGTTGGTGCGTCGGTGCGTCGGTGCGTCGGTGCGTTGGTGTGTTGTTGCGTCGGCGCGTTTGTGCGCTGGTGGTGCGTTGGTGCCTTGGTGCCTTGGTGTCTTGGCGCGTTGGTGCGTTGGTGCGTTGGTCCGTTGGTGCGTTGTTGCGTTGGCGCGTTGGTGCGTTGGTGGTGCGTTGGTGCGTTGGTGCGTTGGTGCGTTGGTGGGTTGGTGGGTTGGTGCGTTGGTGCGTTGGTGCGTTGGTGCGTTGGTGCGAACGGTTGGTGGGTTGGTGGGTTGGTGGGTTGGTGGGTTGGTGGGTTGGTGGGTTGGTGTGTTGGCGTGTTGGTGTGTTGGTGTGTTTGCGTGTTGGCGTGTTGGCGTGTTGGTGTGTTGGTCTGTTGGTGCGTTGGTGTGTTGGTGTGTTGGCGCGTTGGTGCGTTGGTGTTTGTTTGTGTGTTTGTGTGTTTGTGTGTTGGTGTGTTGGTGCGTTGGTGTTTGTTTGTGTGTTTGTGTGTTGGTGTGTTGGTGTGTTGGTGTGTTGGTGTGTTGGTGTGGTTGTGTGGTCGTGTGGTCGTGTGGTCGTGTGGTCGTGTGGTTGTGTGGTGGTGTGGTTGTGTGGTTGTGTGGTTGTGTGGTTGTGTGGTTGGAGCGTTGGAGCGTTGGTGCGTTGGTGCGTTGGTGCGTTGGTGTGTTGGTGCGTTGGTACGTTGGCGCATTGGTGCGTTGGTGCGTTGGTGCGTTGGTGTGTTGGTGTGTTGGTGCGTTGGTGCGTTGGTGCGTTGGTGCGTTGGGAGCGTTGGTGCGTTGGTGTGTTGGTGTGTTGGTGTGTTGGTGTGTTGGTGTGTTGGTGTGTTGGTGTGTTGGTGTGCTGGTGTGTTGGTGTGTTGGTGTGTTGGTGTGTTGGTGTGTTGGCGTGTTGGCGTGTTGGTGCGTTGGTGCGTTGGTGCGTTGGTGCGTTGGTGTGTTGGTGTGTTTGTTTGTGTGTTTGTGTGTTGGTGTGTTGGTGTGTTGGTGTGTTGGTGTGGTTGTGTGCTTTTGTGTGCTTGTGTGCTTGTGTGCTTGTGTGTGTGTGTGCGTGCGTGCCTGCGTGGTGGGGGGATGGGGGTGGGGTGGGTGGGTGGGTGGGTGGGTGGTGGGTGGGTGTGGGTGGTGGGTGGGTGGGTGGGTGGGTGGGTGGGTGGTGGGTGGGTGGGTGGGTGGTGGTGGTGGTGTGGGTGTGTTGGTGTGTGGGTTTGTGTGTGTGTGTGGTGGTGTGTGTGGTGTGTGTGTGTGTGTGTGTGTGTGTGTGTGTGTGTGTGTGTGTGTGTGTGTGTGTGTGTGTGTGTGTGTGTGTGTGTGTGTGTGTGTGTGTGTGTGTGTGTGTGTGTGTGTGTGTGTGTGTGTGTGTGTGTGTGTGGGTGTGTTTGTGTGTGTGTGTGTGTGTGTGTGTGTGTGTGTGTGTGTGTGTGTGTGTGTGTGTGTGTGTGTGTGTGTGTGTGTGTGTGTGTGTGTGTGTGTGTGTGTGTGTGTGTGTGTGTGTGTGTGTGTGTGTGTGTGTGTGTGTGTGTGTGTGTGTGTGTGTGTGGGGGGAAAGCTCTTTTTGGTTTTCCTTTGGAAGATTCCTATGAGACAAAGCCAGAGGCTTTTTGCACCAGCACCCAAGGAGTTCACAGGCTTTAGCCCTTGGGATGCCTTTGGTGCAGGAAACCCAAGCCAGGTCCTGGTGCCCGACCTCTCACCCCGTTTTTGGCTGGGAGGGTTCCCCTACTAAAATCGACGACGGAAAAATGTTGGTACCCTTATTCTAACCTCTCTACTGGAGGACCTAGCCCACTTGGTGGATTGGAGCCCGGTGGATTTGGATTTGAACTCCTGGCTTTTGAGGGGTGTGAGGGATGGGATTTACCACCCCGCAAGACCGGGATCCAAACCACCAGGATTTGTGGCAGTTCCATGTGACTTGGAGTAATTTTAAACGCTGCGCGTTGCCCGCCTCGGCCTAGCCGAGCGCACAGCGTGTGCGGTTCGACTGCAAGCAGCAGAGCTGGTCAAGTGGCGATTGGACCATTTGATGTCCTGGGCCGAAGTTGCGAGGAATCCGCAGGGCAAGGCGACGCATAGGACGAGGAGTGGGTCATGGAGCCAAGAGGCAGTCGTGCTGCGTGCTGGGGGCAGTGGATGTCATGGGCGGAAGTTGCGCAGAAAGTCTTGACAACAAAAGCAGAGCTGTGGTGATCAATGCGCACGGCAGTCTTGTTTTTTTCAGGCGTGGGTTGGTCGGGCTAGGGAGGCCACTGGGCTGGGCCTTTGGGTGGGTGGCTGGCAGCCGGAGCTGGGTCAGTTGCAAGGGTATTTGTATATATGCCACATAATATTTAGTTACACCGATGGTGTGTGTAATCATTACGCGGCAGCACCTCGCAGCCTCATCTGTGAAAAAAAGTGTTGGTCACAGCGATGTCGCTCATTCAAGAAGCCATGAAGATGTACGGGAGCAAGGAGTGGCACTACGAGATGCGGGGACATCCAATGTGCGGGGCAGTGACTGCATCTTCGATCGAAAACCCGCTCTCGCTGCAAGAGTTCCTGCAGTGTTGCCGACCTCCTCAAGGAGTCCGATCTACGACCCTCATGCTGGACGTCCACAGGTCCATACTAGAATGCGGCAGACTTGGGGATCTTGCTTTAGCCTTGCAGTTCCGAGCACCCTTGCCGATGGCGCGAAGGTGGGAGCTGTCATCCTCAACCCGGAAGATGGCACGTATCAGGTCATCAAGCTGGTCTACTTTGAGCAAGATAAAGATACAGGAAGCTATGAAGATCGGATCTGGCAAGGTCTTTGTGCCCTTCGGCCCGGCCCATGGGCTGTGAGGAAAGCCTTCCTATCCTTTCCGGAAAGACTGCCTGGGTACCACGTCCAATGAGCATGCTAGTTCTGGGCCTGCTTGGGCCTGGCGAGCAAAAGCCATGCTCCTCCGGAGAAGAAAAAAAAGGCTTAGTGATTCTCAGCGCATTTGCAGCAAAAATGGGCCCATGGAGCTGGACGCCGACGAACCCCGAAACATGCCAAGGCCCGCCGGACAGGATCTTGGGTGGGCCAGAGAAATTTTGGGGCGGGGAAAAGGTTAAGGGGACAAGAGAAGATTCTCTTTGGAAAAGAGATCTGAGCGACCCTTGGCCTGTTGGGGGCCGAGGCGAATTCATTGGCCTGTTGCTCCGGCGTCAATTTCTGGCCCTTTCTCTTCATTTGACGCAGCCTCAAGGGCTTGGGTTTGTAAACTTCCCCAGAGGTTACTTTCTTAGGCCATTTCAGGGCCATCGGAATGTGATACGGTGGTGTGGAGTCATTGAGGGTTCGATGTCAGCTGGGGGGGGACCCCAACAATGGGCTTCGTGTGCTCCTTTTTGGTTTCCCTTACAACCAATGTGAAAAGGGTACCAATTTCAAGACGCGCGCATTGATGGGTGTTTGTTTTTGTTTGAAGCAAGCTTGGATGGTGAGTGTCGTCAACTTATACCAGTTTTGTTTTGGGCCGCCTTCATTTCTTCGGGACGGGTATGATGAGCCAAAACCAAGAGACCCGCTTGATACATCCGGCTGGGATTCATCGATCGACTCGAGGGCTTGCCAGCGGACAAGCTGCCTCGGCCGCCGGAGTATTTGATGCCTCCCGGCCTTTTGGGTCGGATCCAGGTCAGCCCAAGGGAGCCCAATACCCTCCTAAAAAAGGGGGTTGCTCCCTTTTTCTCAAAAAAAACCGGCTTGCAGTGTGCTTGCTTTCTTCTTTTCCATGGCCGCTTTGGACATGAATGTAGACAACGGCACCTTTTGGTCGGAAATACCGCCAAACAAGCCAGCTTGGTGGCTCCCAGCCATCCGGTTCCTTAGCCTGTTAACTTTGTAGGGTTTAGTGGTTGGATTTCCATGTAACCCACTAAGCGGACCCAAGCAAAGTCCAAGACTCAAGGACTGTTTCTTGCCCTAGATCCCTTTCGGCGAGGGGGAACATTGAAAATTTCCGTTCTGGCCAGGTTCATTCCTTGTTCCAAGTGGGAAATCCGTCACTTGCAACGAGACAGCGAAAAGACTCCCTTGGTTTTTTGTTTTGAGTGACTCAAGGTTTGATTCCGTGAGGCTCGGCCCGAATTTCCCAAGGAGCACTCAGAATTCGTTTTCCACCTGGGAGTTGCCCGTGCCGGGAGGAGCGAGTCGAATGCTGGATTTCGGCCGAAGCCGATCGAAGCCGATCGAGTCGAGCATCGAAAGATACAATTATGAACAAAAAGCGGTTGCCTGGAGGTAAAGAAATTGTCATCAACTTCTTCGGGGGGCCTTCGGCCAGCCGCGGAAGCTGGAAACTGACGGGAAGCTGTTTGTGTCCATAATGGGCCATTTGCGTGCTGGTGCTCGGCACCAGGGTGAATCAATTGCTACAATAAGCTGGTTGGTGCGCAGGGAATGGGAGAATGAACCATGCCCGAACAAAGGAAACCAGCAGTTGGATGGTTTATCTCGGGGTCAGACTCCATGTCTCATTCCGTCAATGTCCAGTGCCCGAAGATGTGTGGCGAAACACCCAGTGGCCATGTCCATAGACCCAGGCACCTTGCCCCACTCAGAGTATTATATATATATATATATATGTATTGACAATCAACAAGGGCGCGTTGGTCTCTCCACTCTAGAGGTGCACGCGTGACAAAGAATGCCGCAACTCTGCGGTCGCGGATGGTTTGTGGGAAGCTTTCTAGCACGGAAACTCGCAGAAGGGGCGCACTTATTTTGCTATTTCTTAACTTATAAGCGCGTTAGCTTTGACGGGGGTGTCAAATGGCTGCGCAAGCTCAACAAATGCAATCAGGATAGCAAGCCACATTGGCTTGTTTCTGAAAGGGGCTGCTAAATTTTCACACTGTGCGGCGGGGAGCAACAACACATGTTAACTTGGGATTCCGACGGACCATGCTAATCCGAAGCAGCAAATGAACTAATTCCCCTCTAGCAAGGGAACGCTCAGATGTTTGTAAATAGAGGGCTTTCCGCGAAACTTGGCGCAAGGGCACTGCAATTGCGCAGCGCTGGAAGGCGAAAGAGGCGCCCGCAAGTATCCTTACTTGTCTGGGAGCAGTGGCTCGAGGCTGTTCAAGGTGCGCCCGCCTGGGAATTACACTTTGGACATGGACATACGGAGGATGGACGAAATCCTGCACCACCTGAGAAAGCCTAGAATGATGATTCCCTCGAAAATACCAACAAACCAATTAGAACTTGGCAAAAATGAGCGACACGCAAATTGTCTCGGCGTTTTTTGTTTTTTTTTGTCTCGTGCTGTGGATGGCAGGAGTGTGCGTGCCGCCCAACCGGATGATGCACGAGAGGCTGCGGGCAGAGCTCGAGAACCTGCTGGCGCACGTGGATCTCAGCCCAACCAGGCGGAAGGAAACATCGGATCCCGATCCATGCCATATGGCTGTAGTGGGCATTGGGACTGGGCCTACGGGACTTTTGGGTCAAAATTAAACCACCATCTACCAGGGTTCCATTTTGGGTACCTATTTTTGACCCGCAGCTATATCCCCACCTTCAAATGGAGTTGGGGGGACTTCGGCACCTGGAGATCTGCCCTCTTATGGTAAGCCATGCTTCCCTTGATGGGGGGGAAAATACTACCCGCAACCCGCCTTAAGGAAGGAGGGGATGGTGCGGTTCTCCATGTCAAATCCGAACTACAAGAATCACATTGCAAGGCTTTCTTATGGCCCTTTGCACCAATGCCTGGCTTGAAGGACATTTTTTCCCCAACAGCTGAAAGCTTTGGGGTCTCAGCCCAGATAGGCTCCGGGGTGGTCCGGGGCGGCCCTGAGGTAAGGTTCCACAAAGGTTCCACTAGGGTTCGACCAGGGTTCCACGAAGTTCTGCGAGGGCTGCGGGGTGGTGAGCGCTAAAAAGAGCACCGCATGCTGTTGGGGATATCACCTGAGCTTATTTACCTATGTTTCAAGGGTCTCCAGATGTGGTATACCCTCCCTCCCGCTAACTTGGCACCTGTGGGAGGGTACCCGAAAGATCAGTTTCCTCTAGGGTCAATAAACAACTGCGCCTAGTTCTGAGAGTTCTGAGCGCTGCGCAAGGTCGCTATGACTCCACCTGTGAACAAAGAAAATCGGTCCGAACTGCCAAGTGCAAGCGCTGAACAAGCTGAACCTGGGGTAACGCCTCTAAAGGCACGTGAATGCACAAGACAACACCACCCCCCAACGAGAGGCGCAAAGCGAGTGCCCTTTTTCTGGGCCGAGCGTTTTGAAAAGACGGTCAGAACACGGAGTGCCAAAGACCTCACACAGCCGCTTTAAAGCTCACGCCAAACAGGTTTCAATCACGAAAGTGAGGGTTAGTAAAGGACAGCCCCAACCACAAATAGGTGCGGCGGCCTTTTCATTCTTCGCGGCCTATTGGGGCTCCCGAAGCCATGTGCCTATTGCTTAAGTCTGGCCGGATCAATCGGAGCCAAGGAAATGGGATCTTGCAATCGAAGCAAATCGCCATGTTCCATTTGCTACCCGAGGTTGGTTTAACCGGTTTATCGACCATGCCAAGGTTGCTTGAGGGAAAGGACACGTATGGAACAGACTCTGAAGATAGGCACTTAGTTCAGGGGTACCTTTGAGTTGGGCCAAGATGTAAGACTCCTCTGCAGCTGAACAATGCCCGGCCCGTTGCACGGGTTCGACATGCAGCCAATATAAGTAAACAACTGTTGTTTGCGATGGATTTCCCTTGTCTAACGCCCCGTTCATTGGCCATAGCAGGGCCTTCTATTCCTGGGGTTTACCGCGCTTTGTATCCAAAAGTCCATGGGTTTAAGCTATGGCCGTTCCACACCCTAACTGAGGCATCCCTTGTGCTCCAAGATAGGAAGCACACGGGTGGTTTTGGTACGGTTTGCAATTGGGAACCCGTTGACCATCATGGACATTTCTCTCCGGCGACCATTTTTTAAACAGCAAGAAAAAACTAGGCCAGCAATCCCCACCCCAAAGTGGAAATCATGAGGCTCCTCCGGCTTCATCTATTTTTCCATCTACCTGGATCCCCAAGTAGCCCCTGTTTTTTCCAGCCACTTTACCCACTAGTAGCTCATAATTTGATGCAACAGTAGCTGGAAGATAAGTTGGCCACTGGGGATCCATCTGCCCATTGGATGTCCTCCGGAGTCAGAATTTCAGTCCGGGAAGATTCCTGTGCAAATCATTGGTGGTTCGAAACCAGCCGTCCCGTTCCATCAGTTGTTTTTGATGTCGTAGACCACCATCACGCCGTTCACGTTCCTCAAGCCTTTAGTAGACTTTTAGGTTGGTTTAGTGGTTGGGTGTCCGAATTGAACCCACTAAAGCTTGAGAACTTCTAGGGGGTCAGATTTCGGACAGCCCAGTATCGAGCTAACCTGGTCCATTGGGGAAGCCTTATTTCTAAGTGTTAATGGTTGTAAGTTGCTCCATTCGTTAAATTCGTTACGGGATTTGACATGCGACCATGACAAGGACATGTGCCTTGTGTTCCCAAAGGCGGTGTCGAGCCAGGTTCAAGAAGCACATCATCAGCCTTCGGAAAAAGGCCGAGACCCAGTCACCATTTGTTGTGTGTTTTTTCTTTGTGGACCCGTTTGAAGCCAGCCAAAACAGGAGCTTGTCCAGGACCCCCCAATGGCTGGCCAATAACCCCAAAACAGCCATTGAAAGATCATTCCACGGATGTTTTTGGCCAGTTATGGGGGTCCTGGGTCTTTTTGTTTTGCCGTTCTTTTCAACCACTGTTCTTTTCAAAAACCCAGCTGTGTCCCCAGGGTTTTGGTTGGTTTTGTAGAAAGGAGCATGCCTGGGTCAAGAATGGAAAAGGAAGGTCCCCCCAGAATGGAGCGATGCTTCAAACGAGGTGACCTTCGCTTGTCTTTGGGCCTGAGGACACTGAGGCGGAGAAGCTTGAGCTGATGAAGGAGACAATGCGGCAAAAGAGCCGAGAGCAGAAGGCCAATGGCCACTGATGCGAGGCATCGGACACAAACGTTCGAAAGATCCAATGCACATTCTGTGACATTGAGGTGCCCTACTGGCTTCTGCCCAATCAGCTGGGGTCAAATTATTTCGACAATTTCTGGGGGGGATCGAAGTCAGAAAATGGGGTTGTTTCCCCTTAACCCACCACTTAGGGGGTGACTTTGATCATGGTAACAGAATGAGGCCAGCTCAATAGAATCAACACCTGCCTGCGTCAATATAGACTGCAGCCATGAGAAGCGGCCATGGGTTAGGGACCTGTTTATATAAAGCAAGCGGCCCTGACAAAGTCCTGAATCTTAGTTACTATTCACAGACCTCCATTTTCACGAGCCTCCTGCATGACTTTAAGAACTTAAATGAATCAGAGGTTCCAGAAACCAGCTCAGCTTGCCCACATCAGGGACAGAACGCCCCAACATGTGCGAAGGCATTCCTGGAGTCCGTGTGTGTGTGTGTGGGTGGATGGGTGGGTGGGTGTCTGTGTATGTGTTTGTGTCTGTGTCTGTGTGTGTGTGTGTCTGTGTGTGTGTGTGTCTGTGTGTGTGTGTCTGTGGTGTGTATATGTGTGGTGTGTGTGTGGGTGGTTGTGTGATTGTGTGTGTGTGTGCTTGTGTAGGTGTGTGGTTGTGTGGTTGTGTGGTTGTGGGGTTGTGTGGTTGTGTGGTTGTGTGGTTGTGTTTGTTTGCTTGTTTGCTTGTTTGCTTGTTTGCTTGGTTGGTTGGTTGGTTGGTTGGTTGGTTGGTTGGTTGGTTGGTTGGTTGGTTGGTTGGTTGGGTGTTTGTTTTCTTGCATGCTTGCTTGCTTGCTTGCTTGCTTGCTTGCTTGCTTGCTTGCTTGCTTGCTTGCTTTCTTGCTTGCGTTTGTTTGCTTGCTTGCTTGCTTGCTTGCTTGCTTGCTTGCCTGCTTGCCTGCTTGCTTGCTTGCTTGCTTGCTTGCTTGCTTGCTTGCTTGCTTGCTTGCTTGGTGCGTTTGTTTGCTTGCATGCTTGCTTGCTTGCTTGCTTGCTGGCTGGCTTGCTTGGTGTGTTTGTTTGCTTCCTTGCTCGCTTTCTTGCTTGCTTGCTTGTCCTTATGCTGGTTGGTTCGAGGTAGGCTACTTTGATTAGAAGGGACACCACGGAAAGAAGGCACAGCTTGCCTGGCCTAGCCTTTCACTTTGACACACCGATGTAGTCTTTGTGCATGGACCAAGACAAACACCCGGGATGGGACAGCGATTGGGCGGCCCAGTGGGTCACATTTTGCCGATCATGAATCCCTAGTGATTTAGACAAGCATGACCGTGTCCTACATGGCTTGCGATGAAGTGAGCGCCGGAAGAAAAACCGGCCACCGAATCTCCAGCGGAGTTGCCTAAAATATTTAACACATTTGCCGCATTTGCCAGCCAAAGGCTGAGCCGAACGCATTCCGTCACGTGAAGCGAGTGGCCAAGCGAGCGGCCGTGACGGAAATCACGGAGAAATTGTGGTTTTCGTGGATCCACTCATGCGGGATATGAGTAAAATAGTATTGAGTAATAAAGAAGGACCAAGCGGGGGGAGAACCGGTGAAATCCACAAGCGCGAAGCGCGTCCAAACTGTTGTCTCGAAATGCCAGCAGTCTCCAGATGCCAAGCGGTAACATGAGGTTGGCCCCTGCCGAGGGGGCAGGGAGCCCAATGGCCTGAATTGCTTTGTGGTCGGAACCCTGTGGGAGGACTACTCAGACTGAGATGCAGTCTAGAGTACCCTCATTGTAAAGGAAGCCCGGGTTCCATTGTAATGTCAAATGGAGCATATACAAATTATGAAACATTTGAAAGTTCACACCAAACACAATGATTCATCTCAGGGAGGAGACAGCCACAGCATGTCGGATCTCTCTTGAGCAAAATCGTGGAGTCGTGGAGTGGTCAAAACCTGGCGGACACCAGTTAACTAGGTCCCCCAGTAGTGCCCTTTTACAATTTTTGGGGGAGGGTTCCCCTACTGAAATAGTCTACAGAAAGAAGGTACCCTTAGCTCAGCTCTTTTTCCGTGTGGAGGAAGGTCGAGATGAGCTCCCGGCCATCTTTTCTCATGCCTTTTGCTGGGCATCACCCGCTGAGGAAACGGTTCATTTCTTTGCTCCCCCCATACCTTGCGTACTCAAGCCTGCGCTTTGCTCAAGCCAGGGAGTGGCAGCTGCAGGTCTTTCCTGAGCTCTGTGGCGGAATCCCCTCGCACTGCAGCGCCTATCTACAACCACATTGCCATCAATGTGTTGCTGGCAAAGCAGGAGCAGGTGGGTTTTCCGGAATCCAAGTCGACCAGTCCAAGTGCTCCGACCGCGTGATTCCGCAGGTTGCTGCTGATCTTCTTGTCCGTTTGGGTTTGCCTCGCTCTCTTGTTCGGGTCTGGCTTTCGCCTTATCGCTCCTTCTCGCGTCACCTGACATGGGGTCGGTGGTGTACCCCCGCCCCGCTGGTTGGGGTCAATGGGATTGCTCAAGGAGATAGCCTTTCCATCATCACGGTGAATGGAATGATGGGCCTTTGGGTGCGTGTGATGCATGCCCTTCACTTGGATGAGCTCTGGGCCAGGCTGCGAACCCTGCGAAATCTGAGTGGTGGACCTGTTCTGTTCATCTGCTGCTGTCGCTCCTTTGTCCCGGGCTTTGGCCCCAATGCCACGCGCGAAAGTCCTCAGGGTCCTTGGGGCCACTGTGCTTGTTGATCTTCGTGGTTGTCAGGGCGTGCGTGACGCCCGCGTTGCAAAGTTTGAGCGCGTGGTCCAAGTCATCGCGGCCCTCCCTCTTCCACCCTTTCAGAAGGCGAAGTTCATCGCCACAAAGGCTGTGCCAATGCTTACCAGCTCAACTTTCTCACTGGCACGGAGGCTTTGCGCCTCTCCTGGCTTGTTGCCAGGGCCCTGTGGGGTCGGCGCCCGAAGTAGCGGCGTTTTGCTCTTGGTTTCCCAGCTTCACCAGGACATGGCCTTCTGTCTGAAGTGGCGTTTCTCTCGGGGCGTAATCCGCCGCACACCATCCTTGATGCTTTTCTGTGTGCGGTGGGTGTCTGCGGCCTTGAGTTCCACCCACCTTTTGACATTGTGGTCCGTCCGTTTCCGCGCTTGTCTTTGCTTCAGGTCTCTGTCCCCTCGCTCAAGAAGCTTTTGGCTTTTGCAGTGTCTCAGGCGGAGTATTCCCGTGCCTGCCGGGCTCCTCGCAAAATTTGGACCAACAGGAGCGGTCGACCATGTGCTGTCTTGCGCCGCTTCTTTATGTCCACCTTGTCCTGCTTGGAGGGCCTACGCCCGCGGGCTCGGCCACCGGAAAAGCTGGAACCATCTGAAAACCGGTGTTGCAGTGGCACGACAGGTGGCAGTGCATCTCTGACCTTCCGCTCAGCCTCAAATGGGTGCGAGCGCATCAGATCGATGGTTTGCAGCATTCTCCTTGCCCGCATCCGGAAAGTGTCAGGTGAGACATTGTGGCACAACGGGGTTGCTGCATAGGTTGCCAAGGCGGCAGCGTGGGCTTGTTTAGGGATTGACCAGCGGGAAGTGCACTCTTTAGCTTATTCATTCTGGCTCCAACGCCTTTACAAGCTTCTGCCTTCACAGGAAGCTGTGCGACGGCAGGAAGTGCAGGAGCCTGAGGCTCCAGCCCCAGTGGCCGCCGCAGCAGAGCAGGATCCTGGTGAGGAGACAGCCGGTGCAATTTCTGGCCCCTTCACACTGGCGTGGTGCAATTGCGTGGGAGAAGTGGCGCAGTTTTTGGGCCAGGTTGAAATGGCGAGCAAGAGTGGGGTTCCTCACATCCCTACCTTTCCAGGGCCCTGGTGGTGCCACAACTGGTGTCGGAGCGCTTTGAGAATCTCTGCCCAAGGTTATGGTCACCCTGTCCCTTTTTCCTGAAAGTGCTGAGTTCAATGTGCAACTTTCCTTTGAGATTCTTTTGGTTTTTGGGAAGACTCCCGGTTGTGCTTGCGACTCAATATTTGGAACACTTCTCGAAGTGTGGCTCCGAAGCCTTCGGCGGAGTTCGATTCGGGTGTTGCCACGCGGACTGGAGATTCACACAGGTAAGCATGTAGGCTCGCTCCCTGAGTTCCGTTTGGCACGTTAGTGACTTTTGGGGTGTGCGACGTTTATTTGGGTTTGGACCATTCTTAGGGGGACATGAAAAGTTTGGTGGCTGTTTTTGGCCGGATTTGGGGAGGGGGTACGACCTAGCCAAAAGGTCCACTGGATCGAGACATGATTTATGAGGCTTTCGGACCCCAATTAACGCATTTGAGCAGCGCCAGGGGAGCCATTGCAAAGTCGAGCGACAGGGAGCTTGCGACCTTTTATCCGAAGGAACCGGCCCATTCCGACACATTCTTTGGCAAAAAAGGAGGTGGTGTCCGATTATCCCCAACAGCCCAAAGGGAACCATAGATAAAAACAAAACCCCAAACCACCCCAGAGCCTTAGTTGGGCAGCGACCCCAAATCGCTTTCAGCTGCGGAAAAGGGTTGCTACCTGCCACCGATCTTATCGAAGGAGGGGCAACAAAAGGAAGGATCATGGTTGGAGTTAGGGTTCAGGGTAGGTTGAGCCCACGTCTTCTCCTGACTCCCACTGTTTATGGCCTTCAACCTCAATCTTAGCCTCTTTTTCCGACTGCGGCAAAAACAAACAAGTGGACGGAGAGAAGGCGCGAGCCCCTTTGAGTCAGCGCTAGAGTCGGCAACCTCGCCCCAGAATGCCAGGGTCAGTCTGGTGCAAGTGTTGGTCCTGCATTCCGCTACTCAAATATTGACAAAGCAGCCTATCGCAAAAAAGGAAAGCACCCCCCAAAAAGGATATCCCGAAAAAACAATAAACACACAGGTCCAGGTGCTTCGCATGTGGCATTGCCCAAAGCCCCAGGAATTGAAAAAGAGGCGGAGCCTCTTAGGCAACAAGTGTGGTTTGGTGCACAACATCCTGTCCGAGAGGAAAATGGCACCAAACCATTTTGGCTGTAGGGTAGCACGTGGAGCCCCTCAATACCAGCCATTGAAACGTTTCATGCAAGGAACGCTGAGCACTCCCCCAAAGGGACCTCATGTGAGCCACTTGCTCAAAAT